TATCTTTGGGCTGAATCACCGACAATTCCGACAATTTATTGAAGAGATTGGAGAAAAATGACTTACCTTATCATACTGCGTACGTTGGCTTAGTTGTGGGAAAGTCCTTCACGCTTTTTGAACTTCGAGCAGTGATCGAAATTTTTTTGAATGAAAAGCATCGCCCTCTTACTAATTACAAAACAACGCATGGCTGTGGAAGTTAGCATTCTATGTTGATTTGACAAAACATGTGAACGAACTGAATTTGAGATTGCAAGGAGAAAACCAGCATCTTCCTGATTATACACTAATATCAAATCATTCCGGAAGAAATTGATACTGTTTCATCACAACTACGAAGTAAATGTTTTTCACATTTTAAAACATGTGAAATATCATCCACCACACTGAGACTGAGTTTCCTATCGATTTTGCAATCGAAACTTTGAGTGGCTTTGAAAATAAATTTTGATACTCGTTTCTAGGACTTTGATGCCATTGCGAATCAAATTAAGATTTTCAGAATCCTTTTGATACTGACATTGAAACCCTAGCCCCGGAACTTCAAATGGAATGATTGATCTACAGTGCAGTGATATAATTAAGAACAAATCAAAACTCATCTTGTTGGAATTTTATAAGAGTCTTCCACTGACACAATTTGATAATTTGCATAAAGTTGCTCATGGGCTGTTTCTGTTTTTGGTACTACTTATTGTGTGAGAAGACCTTCTCCAAAATGAAGTACACAAAAAATGTTTACAGATCTAAATTAACTGATGAGCATCTTAAATCTCTTTTAATAATTGGTACAAGTAAAATTAGTCACAACTACAAAATATTGTCAGTGGAAAATCTCAATTACATAAATCTCACTAGTATTTCAATGTATTATACTTTTTATAAGTTATGTTTTTATTTAAAATGTATAAAATGTTAGTTGGATTCATTTCAATAATTTGTTAGTTAATATCTGAAGTTAAATTTTCTGCATATTATACATGTCTTACTCATTATAGTTCTGTGTTTCTTTATCCAACTTATCACAAAAAACAATAACAATAAGCCTACAACAATGTTATGAGTAGTTAGCCCATGACCATATCAATGTAGATGTCATATTAATAATTATTCAACATAAAATTATAATACTTCAGTAAACTAAATTTAATTTTCTATAAAAAATATGTTCTCAAAAAGGAGTTTTCAAGTATGCTAGCTCTCCGCGGGACGGACAAAATCTATCCGCGGGCCGGATGTGGCCCTCGGGCCGTAGTTTGGAGACCCCTGATCTATCCGGAGATGTGATGAAAATTGGAAATATCCAAAGTTGGAAGAACCCAATCAAACCGGGAGAGTTGTCAGCTATGACATTTTCAGCTATTTCATTTTGGCATTCTGCGTCAAAAACTTTAAAAGTCTGAATCACTTTTCAAATTGTTACCATCAAATATTAGAGTCCTGGATTATATCTTTAAAGAAGTTAAATAATGAAGAATCAGCATAAATGTATGTATGTTTCTCGCATTCTGATAGAACAACGGTACCTGAAGCCATCCATTTTTGAATAACGTACGTCTCCACGCTAATATGGGCATCTGGAAGCCCAGGTTTGGAATTTGTTTTATTATCTATTTCATATCTTGTGCAGCATTTATGAGTTTTTTATTAAGAAACTCAACAACGATTTCAAATTTTTTTATTATCCATTTCATATCTTGTACAGCATTTATGAGTTTTTTATTAAGAAACTCAACAACGATTTCAAAACGAGCAATGGCAACGCTGTACAGGAAAAAAGAAAATCTATCTCTAGCGCGCTATGCTGTGTATCGGAATCTCTAACGATATGCTCATTTTAAAATTATTTTACGATATTGCTGCTGAAGTGAATTTTATGGTTTAAGTGCGAAGAACATGATATTTAATAAATAAAAGTAACATACAAAACGTTAAAAAAAAAAAAAAAATTGCCCCTTTCGGCGTAATGTAAAATCTAAAAGCCTTTCAATTTTTTTTTTTTTTTTTTTTTTTTTTTTTTTTTTTTTTCGCAACGGGCAATTTCCTCAGAAGGTCTATTAATTTCTTTTCGGCATTTTGCGTTGGATCACTATAAAAGTTTGCTCGCATTGTGTTAAATCAACGGTACCTAGAGCCATCAAATTTTGAATAACACACGTTTCCGCTTGAATATGGCCATCTGGAAGCCCAAATTTGAAATTTGTTTTATTATCTATTTCCTATTTTCTAAAATTTTAACGAATTTTTGATTAACAAACTCAACGATTTCGAAGCGTTCCATTAACGTTAACATTGCGTGCATCTTCAAGCGCGAGCTGCCTTTTTAGCACAAACGGCATTAGCCCAGAAGTTCTATTAATTTCCTGCATTTTGTGTTAGTTCACTATAAATGTCGGTTCACTTTTCAAATTGTTGCTACCAAATATTAAAGCCCTGTCTTATATTTACAGAAATTAAATAATGAAGAATCTGCACAAATATATGTATTTCTCGTACTGTGATAAAACGACGGTACCCAGAACCATCAAATTTTGAATAATGTAGTCTAAATCCGAATATGGGTATTTGGAATTTGTTTTATTACCGATTTCATATTTTTGTAGCACTTTAACGAGTTTTTTATCAACAAATTCAGCGATTTCAAAGCGAGCAATGGTAACACTGTGCGGAAAAAAATTATTTTATATCCAGCGAGCGACACTGTGTATCAGAAATTCTAAAGATATGCTCATTTTAAAATTATTTTGCGATATTGCTGTTGAATTGAATTTTATGTTTAAGGTCGAAGAACACGGTATGTAATAAATAAAGGTAACATCGCCCCTTTGGGCGTAATGTAAAATTTAAAAGCTTTCAGATTTTTTTTTTTTTTTTAATATTTATTAGCCCAAAGTGTGTTAGAAAGAAAAGCTATTAATTTCGTTTTGGCAGTTCACGATAAATGTCGGATCACTTTTCAAACTATTGCCACCAAATATTACAGCCCTGTATTATATTAAAAAAAATAAATAATGAAGAATCGGCATAAGTGTATGGTATATTTCTCGCATTGTGATAAAACAACGATACCTAGAGACATTAAATTTTGAATAACTTAAATAAATCTTTAACCCCGAATATGGGGATCCGGAAGCCCGAATTTGGAATTTGCTTATTATTCGATTTCTTATTTCGTAAAACTTTAGCGAATTTTTGATTAACAATTTCAATGCAACACTGTTAAGAAAACACTTTTATCTCTAGCGTGCTTGACTTCTAAAGATGTGCTCATTTAAAAATTATTTTGCAATTTTGCCGTTGAACTGAATTTTATGGTTTAAGTGGGAAGAACATGATATTTAATAAATAAAGGTAACACATAAAACGTAAAAAAAAAAAAAAAAAAAAAAAAAAAGCACCTTTGGGTGTAATGTAAAATCTGAAAGCTTTTCAGGTTTTTTTAATTTTAATTTTCTTTTTTTCCTGGCCATCAAGTAACGACTTCACTAGTTGTACCATCTCTTCTAGTTCACCAGCGCAGTAGCTAATCGCATCGACGGTCAGAATAGCATAGAGGCTTATTTACAATTTGTAAGGGAGATTCCTTACAAATTCTTAGTTCGCACAACCTATATGTTAGCGCATGCGCACAATCAGACCAGGTACAAGCATTTTACGCCGATTTGCTGTAAGGCAGGCAGTAGTGGGAGCGAGTGTTGTCAACTAGATATCTAGTTGGCCTTGGCAGGCCTGTAGATATCTAGTTGGCCTTGGTGTTGTCAACCCTAACTGAGCGATAAGTTTCTACTTATCTTCGTTGTATGCGATTTCATTGTTAATTAATTTTTAGTTATAGTTATTGAAATTTACATGTTATTTGTTTGACATAACTTGAGGACGATGGATGTGTCAAAAACAAATTTCTTGTCATTTGAGTGTGGAAACAAGTTTTCGATATATTTTGAATTTGAAAGATCGAAAGAACTGTATGAGAAACCAAAATTTCACTGTTTTGATTAAAACGAGATCGAAAAAATTTCACGAGGGTTATAAACATCGTGAAATGTTACTGTTCAAATACGTTACCTTTGATGTAAAAAAGGGCATATTCATAAACAGTCATCATAAACATTATATTCAGAAAGAGTTTAATTCTTTTAACCACCTAACACCAGGGTCCGTGCATATGAAACACTAATCTTACCGAATTAATTTCAGGTGTTAACGTGAGAAGGCTTTTAAACTATCAAAATGACATATTTCATGAACAGCTGCAGAATGCTTTTAGGCACACTTGAAATCTGTTCTAGATGGTATTATCAGGAAATAACGAGCTCAAAATAAGTAACTAATAATCCTTTAAGTATTTATTGAATACGTAAGAATGCGCTGAACTGAGAAATAATAGAATGTAGGAATCAAGTGCAAACCAAGTTTATGCTAATCGCAGTAAATTAAAATGTATTTAATTATTGATGCACTGTTTTAAAATATAATATACGGAGAAAATTAAGATGTTAAAATTAAGTAATCCGAGAACCAGAATATCCGCAATGTTAGCAACATTTCAGAGTATATGCAGCAGTTTTTAAATTATTTCATCAAAAGATGTCTAAAAACTGAGAAAATAATGAATAATTTATTGATGGTCTTTTCCAAACGCATGGATCTCAAGCCATTCTAATAGATAATTTTTTTTTTATTATTTACTGTAACTGGAAGCCTTTAAATAATTCAGTAATTTTCTTGACTTTCAAAATCTCAGAAATGATACTAACCACCTTCATTGAAAGAAGTGCTTGAATACTCCGCGAGCCAATGTAAACAAACAGGTCATTCTTCCTCTTCTTCTCTTCCGGAATATATCTCATAATTTTCTGGGACTTAAATATGCATCGCTTGGGAATGCAGCAGATTCTGAGATGGGGAACTATAGGCAGTAATTCATTTTCGTATTTTTTTTGGCAGTAATTGCTTTAATTCTTTTATTTCACTGTCCGTATTGATTTTTTTCCCTAAGGCTTTGTGCACGGTGAAAGCATGAATTTAGAATTGAAATTTCTCTAGATGGGCGTGGCAGTACAAACCTTCTTGCGGTAACTTGTGTTTGTAATCGTAGCGGGAGATTTGTATATTCTGTTCGTAAAAATTATTAACAAATAGCAGTGAATCCTAGAAGACTCATATTACAGATATTCTGTTGAAGAAAGATTTATATCTTCTATGTACCCAACCATTTAGAAAATAACCCATAAGAAAAAATGCACATGTTTTCATTTACCAAATCGGATTTTATGTGCAAGAATTGGTTACATGTGATTCACTGGCGGAATTTCAATCCATTAAAGCATTCTAAGGTATGCATGATTTTTTTTTATATTAAATTTCTTGCCCTTTATGATCTTTTAATTGGAAAAGATACTCTAATTAGAAAAAATTACATATTTCTTGATAATCGAAAAATTAGATCTTATTTCATGCTTAATATTGTTTAAATTTCCATAATGTTATTTTGAATTCAACAAAATCCGAAATTAACTGTGCTATGATTAGCAAGAAACATAGCAGTTATTCAATTCATAAAGTTAACAAATAACATAACAGCTAGTCACTGATCTGAAAGCATTTAATTAAATCTGTAAGGAAATATGCTGACATACTAATTAACGTGTAATATTTAATTAATGATAATTGAGAAGGAACTTTTTGAATATTATTAGAATGTTCATAATCTTTTCAGAAAGCCAGGATAATAAGTACATGTTGAAATTCAACTAGATAGTATTTTCCAGTGTCAAACTTATTTCTGAATGGAAACCTAATGTCTTGTACGAAAACTTGTATTTTCATTTTATATTGAAACATTTGCGGGATTTGATAATGAATCTATAAATGGTAGTTGATACTGAATTTGTTATCCTTCTTAAGTTTATGAAAAACATTTCCTTGAATCAGATATTCAGAGAATAATTGAACATTTTAATGTAAAAGAAGGAGCTTCTGTAAATATAAATTTGAATCATCCAGGGTTGCGAAAGGATGCTGTATTTTCACACCTGCCTGACTGTCCAAAATATATTCCTAAAATCGTTAGAATCTAGAGAAAGTGATGATAAGAGATACAGGATTGATAAAAACAATTTATAGCTGGTATTTGTTGCATGTCTTTCTAACTACTAAATAAAGTTATAAGAAAAAAATGTTTTTACACATTTTCTGGCATAAAATCTGGTGAATTTCGTATTACTTGGATAAAGTGACCACATTTTCATTGAGACAAACCGGGACAAATGGAATGAAATGAGAATTATGAAAGCAGACCAATAATTCAAAAAAAAAATCTTATTATATACATTAATACACTTGTTTATAAATATTAAAAATATATTTGTTATTAACTATTGGTAACTATAAAAGTATTTGTAAAAAACCATAAATTGAATATTATGTTTTTAATTAATTTAATATTTTATTTTTTGGCAAAAATTTGGCGACCAACTCTCCTACAGCAACCCTCTATTTTTTTCCCCGCCGCCGACATGTTTCTTTTCTTTTTATCTACTGAACACTTCTTCCAACAATCTACTAGCCGAATTACACTTATGCTAGAAATTTTATCTAACAAAACTGCTTAATCATGACAAATATTCACTGCAAAATTGGGAAAAAGTGCACAATACCATACTCCTTACGCGTTTTTTCAAAATAACTCATACACATAAACTATGTACACGTCGACTTATTTTTACTTAAAAAAACATCCAAGAATTACACAAAAATGGCATTGCGCACACTCTTCACTATATCCATGTACACTGCTTTTTTATCGTAAATTAGAAAAATTTCATGAAAATACATGACAATTTTCTGAATCTTTAAACCCGGTAAAAAGAACATATATGAAATTACCTGATCGCGAAAAAGTATATACCCTTTTCAAATATGAACATTTCCACATATAAAATAAATAAAATATCCAAAAACTTTTACCTCTAAATCATCTATTGTATTATAAACGTCACCAACGAATTCATACTGCAACCATTACAAATACTTAGTGTCAAATATTTAAATTATTTCCATGCATGTTTACTTCAACTAACACGTATACCAAATTCCTACAAACATAAAATTCACAAATTAACTATCATTTAATTAAAATATTACTAAACCATGTACACGTCGACTTATTTTTACTTAAAAAAAAAAAAATCCCAGAATTGCACAAAAATGGCATTGCGCACACTCTTCACCATATCCATGTACACTCCTTTTTTCTCATAAATTAGAAAAATTTCACGAAAATGCATGACAATTTTCTGAATCTTTAAACCCGTTAAAAAGAACATATATGAAATTACCTAATAATGAAAAAGTATATACCCTTTCCAAATACGAACATTTCCACGTATAAAATAAATAAAATATCCAAAAACTTTTACCTCTAAATTATCTATTATATTTATAAACGTCACCAACGAATTCATACCACAACATTACAAATACTTAGTGTCAAATATTTAAATTATTTCCATGCACGTTTACTTCAACCAAAACGTATACCAAATTCCTACAAACATAAAATTCACAAAATAACTATCATTTAATTAAAATATAATTAAATTCAAAAACTCTACTTAAAATATAAATAAGCACATACATTAAATTAATAAAAATTAGCTTACAATCCTAATTACTTTAAACGAAATCATTGCTAATAACAATTTTCCCAATAATACCAAATTACTTTACTTCCACCTTACATTTAGAACAATGCATAAAAATAATATCCTCAAATAATTAAAAATACTAACTTACCTAATCTTCTTCAGAATCTTGATTATGTGTCCGATAAACTTTTCTTATTTCTGTTTCAGGATCTTTAAAATCATACTTATAGTTCACAGCAAGGTACCAGGTAAAATAAATAACTTAATAAAACATCTTTACTTCTATCTCGCACAACCTTAAAGAAACACTTATTACTACCCCTTTCAATCCCACTAAATACCCATTTCGAATTCACTTTATTTAGGGCCATGGGTTCCAAAAATTAACAAACACTATTTCACACAACACAGAATAAAGCCAAATACAAAATTTCCAGTTTTTTCCAGATTTCCCCCTTTTTCCGATTAAAGAACCGTAATTCGTCCATTAATATCACATGACATATCCCATGATCTCTCATTTCCCTCACACAAAATAATGCGTAATCGGAACTGAGTACTGCTCACATTATTACCAAAGTCCCAGGTAGTAACCTTTATCGCCTCCAAAATGTCGCCAAACTACCAGTTACCATATTCTAAAGATCAGCCCATATTTTTTATCCGAGTGAATACTTTGTAATAAATTTGGGTCATTTATTAAAATGTCGTGAAATTTCTCACATGATTTGGTCAAAGTATATTCTAGGCCTAATACAGATTTTAAAGTTTTAATGTTCAGCTGCATTTTTTCAATTGTCCATATTTTATTGAGACTAGAAAAAACACGTTCTGTTGCTGCATTTGTTCCTGGGAAGCATCATAATATATGGATATAAATGTGCATTTAATCTAATTCTTTCTGCAATTGTGAAAACGAATATAGTGAAAAAACATTACAAATAATTGCTTTGGTTTTTGTCCTTGCACATGCAAATTTTTTGTCGTACAATGTTTTGATTATTTGCGACGTATAATCAATTGATCTGAAACCTTGATTGTGGTTTATGGTGTGGAAAGCAAATAGCCCTTCAGCTACTGCTAGGGCTACTGTTCCTCCAATAACAAACATGTTCTTGACGAGATGTAACGACAATGATTGAACACCATCGAGTAAATCTAACTCGTTATATTGCCTAATTTAGTTTACTCTGCATGCATTTTATGTGCTTCTTTATTTCTTTATATTCGCTATAATAATTAATAAATAATAGGTAATATATTTTTACAGAATATTTAAAATAAGAAATGCAGATGTTTTCTAAAAAGCGGGACATTTTTAAAAATCGGCGGGACGCGGGACAATCCTCCAAAAAGTGGGACTGTTCCGCCAAAATTGGGACGTGTGGTCACTTTACACTTGGATGACTAATTTAAAAGACGATGAAGTTCTTTTTTTATTTTTGATACACTTTCTGTACTAGTTATTAAAGTTTTAGTAGTAATAATAGAAAATCTAATGTGTAGTGTTTTTATTGGTAACTCAGAATTAAAAATAATAGATAAGCAGTTGTTTTATAAAATAATAGATGATACTTGTTAAAGCCCTAACAGTAACAGCTCTTCTCCTACTCAAGTTAAAGTGGAAAGACTCTTCTCAGCTCTGAAGTTTATCAAATCGGATCTGTGACCTTCCAACAAAGAAGATCTTGCCGAAGCTATACTGTTTCCTAGAAATAACTAATGCCAGTTTTTCCATTTCATAATAAATGCTAATTAATATAGATAATTTGCAATGCCACCAATTTTTTTTTTTTTTTTTTTCTTTCTGTAGCATCGATTACTTCTTTTATATTGAAAAAATAAGCTGTAACCCAAGTGTATATGTTTACATATATATGAGGGAGTCAGAGTCCTTAAAATTCCAGAAGTCGGAGTCAGAGTTGCAGTCGGTCTAATAGAAATGTCCGATTCCACAGCTCTAATAGAAATGTCGTAATGTCACCTGACTCATCAATCAATTGCACTTGGTATAGGAATATGGGCAGAGGCGTAGCTAAGGTTTTCAGCACCTGGGGACCCTAAAGACTTTGCACCCCTTTCTGTGTTCCTGAAGAATGGAAAGCATTTCCACCACTTAAGACGGTGCATTTGAACAACCCCCTTTTTTTAACCTTAAATTTAAGAATTTTAAGTTCTTCAGTAATTTCATCAGTTGAACAACTTACAGGTAGACCTCTTTGTGGAGACTAGGTTTTTGTCAAGCATGAAATCAAAAAATAATTTTGAAATAATTTTGGATTTTAATAATCATAAATTGAATATTTATTTGTATAGAGAAAATATGAAAAAAAGTTGAGTTGAAATTAGGAACAGTGTTGTAGGCCTTGAAGCATGGTACTACACATGGCATGTTAAGTGTGCAAAAATAGCATGTTTCTGAAGAAACTGTAGATGATATCCTAAAAGAATGAATTTACAAGCTCTAATTAGCATATTTTCCGCCAAACTGCAAAATAAAATTCACACAGTCTCAACAAAACTTCATAAAGATCACCATCAGATCTGCAAAACACATTGTTAGTTTATTTAGAATAAGTAAATAAAGTCTCTCATGAACTATGAATCATGAATTACCTCGTGGTAATTATTTTCGACAAATGTTTGATGATTGAGCTAACTCGGAATAACTAGGCAATAAGTGGTTAAATTGGCTGATATTGCAAGGGGCTGAAATCAGTTGCCAAACAATGATCAGAGATGTTAAAATATTTATTTTGATCTGAATAACAGAAAAACATGTGTGCATAGAATCATGCAGTACTTTCCAGTAAATATTTCTTCCACTATATCTGTATTTTAGTATTACACAGTATTATGATAATAAGATTATGATTTTTTTATAAGAATGGATTAATTGTTTTCCTGTATTTCTTACTGGAAAAGTTGTTTGGTATACGTCCAATGATCTGGAATGAATTAATGATGTATACTGAGGTACCACTGAATATTAAATATTGAGATTTTCCAATCATCCATTTCCATGCAAATGATATTGTTAAAAAAATTCTAAAATGTTTATTAATAAAAATAATGACATAAACAAAGCACTCATGAAGTATTTTATTGTTTTTTTTTTTTTTTTTGAAGTAATCATTAAAATTTGAGAAAATTTATTCTGTCTTTTGATTTATGCTAGTGCCTTTTTGCTAATTCATTAAACTTTTTGCTTATTTTGAAATAAAATTAACAATTCATTAGCAACTTTAAGAGTAGATTTCAAAATATTTAAAATCAAAGTATATAACTATTTATCTTCCAATTTCTAGTTGAAGTATATGAAAAGAAAAATTATTCATGATATCCGAAGATACATCTAATGTGTCCATGCTCTCTTCTATGGATGAAGCTGATGTTAGACCAGACTCCTGTGGTATGATAGCTTTTTTAAATACTGCTGTATTGATTTACCTTTGAAGCCTTTTTTCCTGCAAAAACTTCATATGCATCAGTACATTTTTTACAAATTAATATTTCAACCCATAGAGTAAACTTATCCAATTGATTTTAATTTATTCATAACTTTGAAATTCACTGATGACTTGTTCTTTTATTATAGTATAGTGCACAAATTGCAATACATTGAAAAAGATTTATAAAATTTTTAATATTCAGAATAATGTACAAAAGCTGATATTAATTTACTTAATATAATGGGTGCAGTCATCAGTATGCATACATATTTAATGTAACCATCATGTGAATCACTAGAAAAAACCACCAGGACCTTGAACCTAGTGCACAGAAGCTCTTTTACACTAGTGGTTGAGAATTTGACTTGCATTAACTAGACCCAGGATGAAATCCCAAAATTATTACCATCTTCAAGTTCATGCGAAACTCGTATGTTGCTGCACTTCTTGGTGTTGCTAATGGATGGCAACACGAGCAAGTAACTACATATTCGAAGCCACTGAGGTCTCTCGAATCACATGTTTGCTGCAACATCACAAAGGCATGTGGTAAGGTTAAAAAAAAAGTAAAATACACAATGCCCTTGCCAGGATTTGAACTTTGGACCTCCTGATTGCTAGCAGGATGTGCTTCCAATTACATCACATAGGCATATGATAAGGAAAGAGAAAATACTTTACAAATATTTGGTACCTTGCTATGTTTATCCACACAGTAGTATGCTCATTCATTAAATATTAATTTTATTTATACCGTATTTAAAAGTACATTTGTAAGTTGAAGCTTTCCTTCCCTGCACAGAAATTTCTCGGTATAAACGTGTAAGAAAATTACAAAAGGAACTTAGCCAAAAAACATAACAGTTAAAATATATTATTAATATAAATATATTAATATATTTTACACAATAATCATAAAATAGTTGAATAAACTGAATTTTGTAACTTTTATGCATCAAATATTTGTTTGTAAGGCTATGCTTATTATGATATGCTCATTTAATAACTTCTTTTATTTCAGATATTTTACAGTGTGGAGCATGTGGCATGAAACTTTTCAGCTTGGACAATTTTGTAATTCACAAGAGTAAAGACTGTAAAGGATCAGAAAACAGCAAATGTAATTCTGAAGAAAGTAATGTGGAAATTATTCGTTATTCCCCAAGTATGAAAAATATTGATAATAAGAAATATATGCTGCATTTACACAATTTTTGATTATTATTTGATTTATAGATAAGTGATCACATAAAAATTTTTCATATAATTTGCATGACTTTAAAACATACGTGGAACTAAAAGGTTTATAACACTCAATAGGTTTTTAACACTCAATTTATCTGTTTGGTATCTGTAGAGCTGCCAAATCATCCGATAAAAAATTGAGAGACTCCTAATTTTTCATCTTATTTCTCAACCTTCTGATAGATCTTCAAATCTTCTAATTTTTAACTTATCTAAATCTAGATCATCTCTTTGAAATTTAGTTTCATAAGAGTTATTGAAGTATCAAAGGAAAAAGAAATGCCATGAAGGAAACTTTGGTGATGAGTTCTTGAAAAAAAGCAAAGAAACATAGTTTTTTTTCTTTTCTACTTAAAGTTTCGTCAGTAGAAAAAAATTTTAAAAAACATTACTGTTCATGATCAAGTCGAATGAATGAGCCTAAATTAAAAAATAAAATAAAAATTGTTGATAATGAATTAAATTTGAAATTAATGTATAATCCAAATGATTCATTACAAAGCCAAATCCATCAAAATAAAATATTTTCAAAATTATGTTGTACCAAATGAAAATTTTCCAGTTTTTTCATGATTCAAAATTGGCAGCTTTGTGCTTATATAATGTTGTTCAAGTCATTGAATACAAACTTGTAATAACTTCTTTTATTTTTCTTAATTTTGAAATACATGATTTTTAAATCAGTATTTTGATGTAATAATGTTATAGCCAAATTTATCATTGGAGTCAGAAATGTTTTTTTGATTTCCCTAAAATTCAGTATTATCAACTCAGAGAATTAATTGTTTTCTACATTCAATGGAGTCAGTCAATGGAGATGAATTAATTTGGAAATTACAATATGATATATGTAATAAAAATTACAAACACTATTAACCCGTAAGCCATTGAGTTTTTGTCGCTCAGATCTTCCTCCAACGTTGTTTTTTTTTTCACTTCCTCCAAGGCATGCTTTTTTTCAGAAGCGCGTATGTAAAAACATTCAGAAGCATGACTTTAGTATAGTTGTTGCCATTGAACCCTAATTAATTAATCAAAATAATAAATCATAAATAATATATAATAAAAAAGAAGTAATTAGTTAATCAAAATAATCAGTACTAAATAATAATGCCATTTCACATCTAAAAATGAAGCACCAATTCTCATGAAATATTGTATTTAAGTCTCTATCATTCAGTCTAGTGCTGCCATCTATTAGTAAAGGAAACAACCACTTTAGAACACATTGCATGCTTTTGTAACATTTGAAACAGTGCAAAATCTAGATAAAAGCATGCAGCGCGTCCGTAACGTTGAGGAATAGATTGAGATGAACACCTTAAAGGTTAAATAAACAACCTAAAAATCACATTGACTTTTTTGTTCTATGATAATTATGTAATTAAAATGCACTGCTCAAGCCAATTAGGGGATATTATTATTATGGATATAAATTTCCGATGAGTAAATGTTTTGGTGACTGGTATATGATGTATATGTGTTGTAAGGTTTGAGAAAAGAAGAAGCAAGAAGCAAGGAATGATTAAATTTTATTGATGATATTTGTTGGTAAACAAGAAATGCACAATTTGTGCATATTTTACAAATAAACAAAAAATGGGATTTTTCAGATACAAATGAGTTTTAATAAGGGGTATGGTTTACCCTGTTTGCATCAGAAATACAGGCCATGAAAAAAGCCAGGTTTACAGTAGTATTAACATTCACAGCAGATGGAACAAATTTAAAACACACTTTCAAAAGAAAAACTGCTCATAAAATAAAATTCCTGCCTGGCATTTTTGTATATTTTCATGAAAAGGTGTGGTTGGATGAGAATGGTGTAAAATTGTGGATGGAAAACATATAACTTAGGCAACCAGATACTCTACAAAATCAACACAGCTTGTATGTATGGTATATGTTTCACAGTTGCATAACGGAGAACATTAAAAATTAGTTAAAACAGAACTGTACTAAAGTTGCTGCTATAACGGGTGGTGTAACTTCATTGTCTCTCAACCTTTAGACGTCTCGATACAACTTTTAGACAATCTTTAGCCTTAGATACATAGTCTTTGATACTAGAACCTTTAGAAGTGAAGTAAAGGAAGTCTTCCCCTTGAAAAAGGGGCTTTATTGAATGAACTATTCAGAGATCACGTGTGTACTGGAATAACTAGATGATGAGTATTGAAAAAGTGTACACACACACACACACACACACACACAAAAAAAAAAAAAAAAAAAAAAAAGGAGCTATGTATGCTGCATCACTCAATGTGCTGTGTGATTTCATGATCAAATCGTAAAAAAAAAAGTAAAAGTGGAAACAATGATCAAATCCTTCAAACAGCATGGGATTTCTTATGCTAAGGATGGCAGTGAGGACAATTTGTTATACTGATGACAAAGCAGAAACTGAGTCATTAGGTACAGAATGGAACCCATAGGCGAGCTTCTCAACAACCAAAATGAGGATGTACTTGAGAAGCTATTTGCCTTAGAAGATGAATGTTAGGATTTTGCAAGATTTTAAATATATTGATGAGTGATTTGTTTTATGGTTTTAACTTATATAAATTTCAATCTAATTTTTTTTTCGTATTTGACCTATGAGATGACCCATGATTTTGGAGGAGCCTTTTTTTTATGATCCAGCTATCATTTTATCTGCATAAATATTTGGTAGTTAATTATGATTTATCTATTTGAGTTCATGATTTCCAAATTTTGTATTTTAGTTTGGTACATGTCACAATAATGCCTCCAAGATTTATTAAGCCTATCCGTTTGAAAAGAAACTGAAGTGAATCAATCTTATATTATTCTTTTTCTTATATTATTCTTTTTCTTATATTATTCTTATTATTATTCTTTTATTATTGCATTTTCTTACCTTTTTTTTAGGATTTATTAATGACAACGTTTTGTTCAGTATACTAAGCTATTTAAAGATGAATTCTTATTAATTGAGACATTATTTATTCCTTTTATATATTATCAGCTGTTCAGGTTATATATATATATATATTTTGCTTTTTAATGAAGTGTTAAAAAATCAGTGATATAAAAATGTATTTTTCATTATATACACACACACATATGTAAACTTACTGTAGTCGTGTATTTTCGCATATTAAGGCTACTTATTAGTTTCGTTGTATATGTATAATTTGGTATTTTAATACGGCATCTCCATTATTACTGAACAAGTAATTTTCTAATACAGTACAAAGTCTGTAATCCAGACTCATCGGGACTTCGGCCATTCCGGATTATAGATCATCAATTTAAATCTGGTAAGATGGCATGCAGAAATTATACAATTAAAAATGTGAAATCGTAATTTATGAAATAAAGAACAATTGTGATCTAAAGGATATCAAAATTTACAAAAAAAAAAAAAAAAAAAACACCTTAGTACTTATTTGTTTACTTTATTAAACATTTTTTTCCATGTAAGTTGTTTAAGATGTTTCCACAAAAAGTTCCTTTTTCTTGTGTCATATATAGTGGACTTTCCAATGCCATATTTTGTCATATATTGTGGACTTTCCAATGCCACATTTCTCACATAATTTTGAGACGGATGGGCCTTTATCCATTTTTTGCAGCAATTCCACTTTTTGTTTAATGGACATCGAAACATGCTTTCGCTTTGCAGATCTTTTGGCAGCTCCAGAATTGGAAACTCTTTTTGACATAATAAAAAGTTCAAGCTTAATTTTTATAAAATTGTTCTAACAGTCTGCAAAAAATAATAAGCCGGATCCAATTAGAAGATCAAGAACAGCGCAATCTGCAACATTGACTGAAATTCCTTAGATAATTTTAGCCTAGCTTATACCGTCTGTTATACATTAAACACGCATGTGTTTATGCATGCATAAACGCATTATGCATTTATGCATGTGTATAAAGTTTGTAGCTTTGAGGTCCGGATTATAGATCATTCCGGATTATGGACGTCCGGATTACAGACTTTGTACTGTAGTATGAAATAATTCAAAAATGCATGGTGGTGGCTATATATATTTTGAATTTTTGGTTCTTGCATATTAATGCAAAACAAAATCATAATTTTAAAAATTATATATTTTATATACACAAATTTTATATTTTAGGTATTTATCATTTAAATCAATCAGTAAATTTACTTATGGATTTTAGTTTCTTTTGTTCTGATAGAAATTTCACAGTGATCACTTTATGAATTTAAAGCAACTGTTTCCTTTATTGATTTAATGGCACACTACTGTGTTCTTCCATCATGAGACCGAACACAGGCAAATACTACAAGCGCATACTTTAAAATTTAGTTTAAAACAAAAAAATATCACAACTTGGCTATGAAAACCCTGGAATGTGGAACACAATAAAAAGAATGCATTCGAAAATAGCATTGTTGCTTGTTAAACAGAAGATCAGTGATGCACTGGTGCCAGAGTGTGACATCTCAAAATTTGGCAACTTCTATTAAAATGATTGTGCTAACATGCAAGTACCAAACTATTTTAGATGTATGTAAAAATCGTTCCCTTTTTTTTAGCAAAAGCGAAGAAACATAATAAACTAAACAAGAAATATGAAGACGAAAACTATGGATTGGATTGTGTTTCATCTACCGATGAAAAACAACAGAAAGAAGTTAAAGATAGGGATTGTTATGTGTCCAGAAAGGTAGGAAGTTTTATAATATTATTGTTAATGCAGGAAGAAATATGCCAAAAAATAATGTCTGGCATATTTCTTCCTGCATTAATTGTCAGTTTTATAATTTTATAGAACATAAGAATAGATGCTTAGCCACGGAACCTCATTTGCTATAGAAAATGAAGAAGCAAATAAGCATGTATAATTATCTTGCGTTTGGTTAAAATACAACTTGTGCCTCCCGAAAATTTTTTTTTTTTTTTTGCATATAACTGGGTGTAGTAACAGCAGTGATATAAACTCTGTCTCCGATATTTTTTGGTTTTATGCACCTCCTCAAAAAGTCGTCAACTCGCTAGTTACCTTGTGAATTGGCAAAAAGCATCTGTTCTGCTGTTGTTTTTTGGGGATGCAGATAACTTTTTCAAAATGCTTTATCTCATTATATCTGCATAACTGCCACTTACATTCTGTGTTTTATACAAAAAACTAAGGTTTCTGCATTTTCAGCTACTTTTAATTAAGTTTTTAATTTATCGTGTACTACTGTTCCAAAATTGAAAATATCTTTCAGTCCTCTCTGTAGCAGTGAATATATTTTTCTTTCACTAATTGTAATGCCTGTACCTTTTCACTTGCAAGTAATGCTTCAGCTTTATGTTTTGATTATAAAATATGCTAAAAATTGTGCTGATGATGGTGCTTTTTTATATTGTGTTTTAAATAATTCTATACATACTTTATCAAGATTTTTTAAATTATTTTAAGCAAGATCTTTCCATACTTCTAACAGCTTCAGGAATGCTGTAAGAATCTTTCTGAATTTTATCTAAACTTACTGAAAATGGCTTCCAATGAAGTAAGAGATCTACGTTTTGCTTGACTGCCATATTTAAAAGCTTCTGACTGTATATTCTTATTTATTGCTTCTCAGTTTTTCCCACAATTTACAGGAAAATTTGGCCAATTATGTAACTTTCATTACAATTGTTTCTTGGCTCTCCATTTCAAGGCAATTACATACTGTATTCCAGTGTATTTTAGATGATATATTTAAATAAGTTCCATTATATTAATTTCATTTGTTTTGGCAAGCTGGTAAAAGTATTTTATATTCTCGAATAACATTCTTAGCAGCATTTGTAATCTTTGGTGTATAAATGAAGTGTATATGCACTATAAATCGAAAACAGTTTTTCTTTTCTCATCTTAACTAAATTTGTTACATTATGTAAAAGCTGTGAATTTTCCATTCAAATTTCTTAATGGGCATCAACAGCAAGGTTAAATAAATTTTCACTTGTATATGGAGTTAATGGTTTTTCATTATTTCTACTGAAGTGCAGTTTCATCTATTGTGCAGTGCACATGCAAGTTATTTCATGCTGAAAGCAGCAAAAAATGGTGGTAATAATGCAAAATAAATTAATAAATAATGCATTTAAAATTCATCCCCTACAATTCAAAATAAACAAATTCAAAAATGGGGGGGGGAAAGAAAAAAAAACAGAAGCACAATGGCAAACTGCAAGAAAAAGATGCGAAACAAGCCAAAACTATAAATGAAATAAGGAATTCACATCGTCATCAGCGGGTTGGTACAACTAAATTTATAAATAAATCAGCCTGTTTCTGAATTAGTTAAAGGCAGAAATTAAAAGTTTAAAATTTAAAATAATCTTAGAATAATAATCAAAGTAATTTGTATCTCCAATCCCTACAAGTTGAAGAAAGCAGTATAAAAAAATTGTGAAATATATAGCATCAAAAATATAAAAAAATCAAAAATAAGCATAAATATTTATTTTGAGCAGACTTTGATTAAGTTATTTCGAAGCAGGAGACATGAAAAATGAGCAATGCCCTCGTCAGGACTTGAACCATGGACCTCTCGAATACACGACGAGTGTGCTGACCACTACACCAGTGCAGGCATGCTAAGAAGGTGATAGAAATACCTTGTAGACTGAGTACAAAAGTAAAACCTGCAATTAAAAACAATCCAACATATATAAATTTTGAAATCCCATAGGCCAGGTTAAACACTTTTTAAAAACATTATAGCATCAAAATCTATATAAGTAAAATAGCTTAAACATCTAATAAGAATTTTCAGTTTTAGCAGACCGAGTCCAGAAACATGTAAAACTGAAGCAGAGTTTGCTAACTGTCGTGATTTAGGCAGGAGTCTCCTGATTTCCGACCATACTCCCGCCAACCGTATTTACAATATATTTCTGCCAACTTTCTCTTATTCTTAAAATTTCTTATGATTTTTATGTAACTTTGCTTAATACTTCATTATTTAATGTAGCTTGGATTAATGTGTTATTATTTGCACCCAGAAATGTTATTTTTAGCATCTGAAAGTACATGGTTTTTCTGTACATTGTAAAGAACAAAAAGTTGTTTCATCAGTGAGACATTATGGCGTTTTTTCGCTTTGTGTGTGATAGAATATGTGTCTGAAAATGTCATGTTCCAGTTCTTGAATGAGCATCAAGTGCTGCTGTTATTCATCAGTATAAGAGCCTATGAGCACAGAGCAAGATCAAGATTGTTATTTCATTTTTCTCTGTGTGCTGTGAGTTTCATAAATAGTTTAACAAATTCAGATACTTTGTCTTAGTTATGTCTGCAAGAAAAGGTAAATTACTCTTGTATGTTTCAAAAATCATACCCAAATAACTTTCCTTCTTTTCATCAAGGCAGTGGTATTGCATTTGTGATGTGCACAGCTTGTCATTGTGTATTTTTCGATTTCGCTCAGTGAAAGGGCCAATATTCTTAAGAATGTTCTTAACATGTTCTTAAACAAGGAGAATGTATGGGATTTTTTTTAAAAATAAAATCTAGAATTTTCAGAAATTGAATGTAGTTTAATTTCTGTATCCACTTTAGAGGAAGATCTGATAGGCTTTCTTATAGCACAGCTAATTATTAAATCTTTGAAAGAAAATGTAATTTCTAGATAACTGCTAGCACTCGGTGCTGACAATGCATCAGTAATAATAAGCTTGCAAACTGGTGTTGTAGGCATCTTAAAAAAAGAGAATCCTGATTTGCAAATTATGAGGTGCAACCGTCACTTAAATTTTGTGGCTGAAAAGGGACAACTTCTTTACCAGTAAGTGTAGATGAACACATTCTTGATATTTATTATTATTTTGAAAAGAATTCTGAAAGGAAGGAAAAATTTAAACGATTCCAACATTACACAGCTGTGTAATACTGAAATAAGAACATTTTGAAACTTGTAACAAAGCATTGAAAGGCAACATCTGAAGCCAAAAAGTGATAAAAAAGGTGGGGGCCTACAAATGACAATGAAATGAAAATATTTCTTTTGCTCCATGTTTACAGGAACATTCAGAAGCCATAGTCTCAATGCTTTGGCCAAAAAAGATATGTCTTGAAACTCCATTCTTTCAAAAAGTTATGTCCTATGACAGATTTTCAATGATAAGAAAATATTTACATTTTGTAAACAATGAAGAAGTTGACTCTAAAATACACCCTAATGCAAAACTGCAAGAATTTGACCCATTTTTCAGTTTCTCAATGCCAAATTTTGTTTACTTTACATCCCTGATCGTAATGCCACTATTGATGAAAGCCTGGTTCTATATAAGTGTAGACTGGGATGGATTCAGTAAAGATCTTGCCTCTAAAAAGATCTTGGTTTGGCATAAAAACAGTTATGCTGTGCGAGAGTAAGATTGGGTACATTTTTTTTTTCAAGCATCATCTACACAGGAAAGGGCACAAAGCTTGACAGCAAATATGCACATCTCGGCATATCTGGTCGAGTAGTTATGCCACTGATGAAATCTCTGTTAGGCAAAAGATATTGTTTGGTCACAGATAATTATTATACTTCTCCAGAGTTAACTGATGAGCTTGTGCAATAATAGTCTACAGATATATAATACAGAACTGTAGAGGCAATATTCTTAAGAAACTTAACCATTCGATTTCAAAAAAAAAAAAAAAAAAAAAAGAAAGAAAGAAAGGTAACGGTCTGGCTTTTCAGCATGGGAAAGACATAGTCCTGAAATGGCATGACAAGAAAGACGCATTTACCTGCTTTTTTCAGTCCAAGCTGCAGAAATGATTGTGATGGAAGATTGGAAGAAGTGAAAGAAACTGAAACCTAAAAAGTAGTTGCTGACTATGACAACACTGATCAACACCTTACAGACTACCCCACTGTTAGAAAACGTGGAAAAAATACTAAAGAGATAAAGATATTTTTCCATGTTTTGGATCAAGCACTTTGGAATTCCTTTATTATTTATCAGTCACCAGGTGGTAGAAAAAATAATATGGATTACAGAATCTAAATTGTGGAATAAATCATTGAAGATAATAAGCCATACATTCTGCCGACAGGACCACTATGAACTTGTTGTGACTTATGTGTCGACACTGTCCCGAACACATTCCACCAATGAAGAAAAAGGCTACTACAACCAGACATTGTTTCCTTTGTTGTCGTAAAACTGATGAAAAGGGAAAGAGGATACGTCACAAAACTCGATTTCATTGTAAAGACTGTGATGTACGCATGTGTGATGTGTCATGTTTTCATATAATACCATATTGTAAAGGATTTGTGAAATTCAAAGGAATTTGAGACACATGGAATTCATGGCAGTTGATATGAATAATAATATTGTTGTATTAGTTTAACTCTATTTATCTTGAAAATTATGTCATTTGATTTATTTTGCTATAATTTGAGCAAAAATTACTATAATCCATTAACATTTCCCATATATGTGAAAATATTGCATATAATAGTTATTTCATTAAAAAATTTTTTTAAAAAAATTATCTATTTCTAACATTTTGATGATTTCTAACTCTTTAACAAACAAAATTAAAGAGAAAAAAAATTGTCATTTTTGGCACATTTTTCTCAAATATATTCCACAGGCAAGGGGTTAAAATAAAAATGAAACTAAATAAAAAGAGAAATTATAACATGTGAATGAAATAGAAAGTTAAAAATGAAATGTTTGTTA